CTCTTGTGTGACACTCTTGTAGGAAACTCTTGTGGGACACTCTGTGGGACACTCTTGTGTGACACTCTTGTAGGAAACTCTTGTGGGACACTCTTGTGGGACACTCTTGTGGACACTCTTGTGGGACACTCTTGTGGGACACTCTTGTAGGACACTCTTGTAGGACACTCTTGTGGGTTAACTCTTGTAGGAAACTCTTGTAGGACACTCTTGTAGGACACTCTTGTGGGACACTCTGTGGGACACTCTTGTGGGACACTCTTGTGGGACACTCTTGTAGGACTCTCTTGTGGGACAGTCTTGTGGGACACTCTTGTGGGACACTCTTGTGGGACACTCTTGTAGGACACTCTTGTGGGATACTCCTGTAGGACACTCTTCAGGGACACTCTTGTGAGACACTCTAGTGGGACACTGTTGCGGGACACTCTTGTGGGACACTCTTCCAGCTCCCGAGATACTCCGCGTACTAAAGTTGTACTACAAGGTCGCCAGTTCTCAGCTTCCAGCTCCACAGATTGCTCCGCGTACTAAAGTTGTACTACAAAGTCGCCAGTTCTCAGCTTCCAGCTCCACAGATTGGTCCGCGTACTAAAGTTGTACTACCAAGTCACCAGTTCTCATCTTCCAGCTCCCCAGATACTCCGCGTACTAAAGTTGTACTACAAAGTCGCCAGTGCTCGCCTGCATTTCGCGCGCTCGACGCGCACGATCTTTGCAGAGGGTTGCGCGCGCATGGGACAAATCACACTCTCGCCTGCATTTCGCGCACTCGACATGCACGATCTCCACAGAGGGTTGCGCGCGAATGGGACAAATCGCACTCTCGCCTGAATTTCGCGCACTCGACACGCACGATCTCCGCAGAGGGTTGCGCGCGCGTGGGACAAATCGCACTCTCGCCTGCATTTCGCACACTCCACACGCACGATCTCCGCAGAGGGTTGCGCGTCAAGTCTCCAAAACGAGCGTTTCGTACGAGACTTCCTCCGAAAGTCAAGCGGAAACACCCATCGGAGCACACACATCACGCAGCCCTGCCAAGCAGTTTCGCGATTCCAGCCCCTCCAAACAACATCCGCCCACACGCCAATCCCAATGTGACAGCGACATTCACCTCTACCACAACTCACAACCTCACGATTCCCTGCGCCTGCCACGAATCTTTCCGCGTCCACACGTCTAACGCGCGCAAAGTACTGCGCCTGCCACGAAATGTCACCTCCGTCACACCTCGCAACCGCACGATTCCCTGCGCCTGCCACGAGAATCGCACTTCCACGCCTCAAAACCCGCACAAAGTCCTGCGCCTGCCATGAAAAGTGACAATATCATCTCATGTGAGCTTCAACAAAATTTGCACCACACCACACGTTTGGAATGATTTCGACCCGTTCTGAGCACACTCCCATCCACCAAAATCGCCATTTCAGCTGAGACTTGTCACGAAAACCGAGCTTCGATGCCACACCCCGAAACGCAAATCCCAATGGCACGGCCACATCCAACACCCCAAAAACACGACTCTCCAAACGCTAATCCCAATGGAACTGCGCAGCAATCCGCGGATCTCACAAAACGCTGTGCCTGTGCAGCGACATGGGGTGCCGCTCTCTTTAAAATTTTTGTCCCAGAACGGCATGGAGTCGAACACCAACTACTGGAGATACTGCAAACTATCAATGTATAAAGCCCTCTTCATGCGGGGGTTTTATTAATCAACCGTCTACATTCGTCGAGAATAGTACTGTGGACAGTTTTATCGACACAGTCGCCATGAGCTGCCAATGTTGGAAATACTTCGGACACAATTTACCTAGAAAATATTAAAATTCATGGTTGTGCTATACATAGAGAATAAACTGCAGCAAAGGCTCCATATACCGCCTGTTCTTGATGATGATCAGCTGGTACTAGGTACTACTTTTGCTTGCAGCATTGGTGAATGCTTCAGGGAGTCAAGGTATCAGTAAAACATTGACGACGTTGATGTAGTTGGCAGTGCAGGCGCTGGGTGATGGTATTGATTCAGTTAGAACGTGGAAAAACACCAAAGGATACATGGGGTGATTTGAGTCAAAAAACAATGGTCCGAAAATCTTGATCCCAATGTCAAACCATCGCAATTCCAAGCGGCGGTCTCGTTATCAGTTGTCTGAACTGGAATCACTGTCAGAATCTGTACTGTGGTCAGAAGAAGCCTAATCCTCAGAAGCATCCCGCAGTCTTTGGAGGTGCTGCTGTGCCTGCTGAAATCTGGCGTACCTCTTGGCCCTACATTTTTCTGCTTGTTACATCATGGAAAAAATGAAAAAACCGACGACTTTCTGCACCATGTGGTCAGCTGGTCAGTTTGAAGAAGTACTGATGTCGTTCAGATGTCGTTTGGATGTCGTTTTGGATGCCGTTCAGATCACCATCAAAAAACTTCTGCGGCAGGTCTGACCAGCACGCCAGCGAAGCACTGAGTATGTCGTTCAGTATGCCGTTTCCAAGCTAAATGCATTGCCCTCAAACTCTTTAATGGTTGCGGCGGTGCAGCTAATTCTGACCATTTCTGACCCCTGGGATCACCCACTACATGTGCACATCTTGCTGGGTTTTTTGCCACTCATTTATGTTGGACAAGCAGGGCTCATGATGTCTTCGTAGGTTGCTTGTAGTGCGAATGCATAAGATGGTAAAGTCTAAGTCTATGCCTGCATCTTCCCTTACCTCAAATCTCTCTTTAGGAAAAAATACTGAAGTGAGACGTTAAAAATGTAGTAGCTGCTACCGTTTGTAGGCATGTGTATGTGTGCATGTGTGTATTTCTGTATGTATGTTGGGTCTATCCTGTTATCAGTAACAGTGGATGATGATGATGATGATGACGACGACAACGAGGATGATGATGATGATGAACATGATGACTAGTAAAGGCCTTGTTCAAAAATAGTGATAATTGTCTACTGATTGTTGCAGGCAATAGGGCAAACCCAATATGTAATATTTATGCATGCATGCACGCATGTATGTGTGTATAAACAGTACATATGTTTGCCACCACATGAACGCCAAAGCATTAATCATATATGAATTGATAGTGAATTCTATACAAAAACATCGGTTTGGGGGGGTGGACCAGTGGACCTTGAATGTAACCTTAAACAACAAATGACAACACGGAACCACAAAATATGCTACACTCCCCAGAATGTACGAGGAAGTAAACCTTGGCGAGGACGCTATTTACGAGGAAGCTGCTGACCATGTATATTCCCCGGGAATAGACCAACAGGCAGGTAAGCCCAATTAGCAAACGAGGAAGAGTGAAAAAACAGCCATATGCATTAACGAGGAAGCTGACCTTCCCCTGCATCCCTGGGGAATGACCAGGGGAGGGGAGGGAAGCAAAGGCTCCAGTAAAGGATTAAACCAGGAAGTTAGTTGTAAAACTGCTTCCTTGTAAGCTCTGGAAAGAGTAGACGTTTTTGGGGGTACCTAGAGATTTACGTGGTGGTCAGTGGATGGTTCTTGACATGCCCACTTGCGCATAGGAGTTCCTTCAACCACAAAAAGGTGTTTACAGTTTACATAAATATCTATTTGCTGGATTGAAGATTCAAAAGGTGAGGAAAACCTCTATTTTCTGGAACTTAAAGTACTGTAGTCTCTGCAGCCAAATAAATAGTTTACACTATTGTTCGGTTCTCGGTTGCGCAAGGTACCAAACGCCAAACAACCTAGCCAGCCAGATATCTGGTAATCGGACCTCAAACAATCTGATAAATGTGCAGTGATCCTGCACTTTGGCTCAATATCCCTTCATGAATGACAATTCTTTTTATGAGGGCCTCACCTTGTGTGAGCGTATCATCTCCATTTGTGAACAGCTCAGTCCTACTTTTGTTCAATAAAGACATTATCCTGTGCAAAAACCCTGCCCCCTGAAAAATTGACATCATCCTTCATGGAAGACACCTTGGTCCATTCATAACAGCCAGAAGCCTTTGAGGAACGTCGCTCAACCCCGTTGCTTGTGTCCAGGACAGGGGTTGGATTCTATTGACTTTGGGCACGTAGAAAGATCCCATAATGACAATGTGTCCTTGAATAAAAGGTCGATTGTTCGATAAAACGAAAGAGCCTCCAACCTAGAAGCAATGGCCTCCAACCTAATAGCGATGGCCTCCATCATGCGTCCAAACATTCTGGGAAAGGGTCGAACTACAGTGCAATCTGCAGCCCATGCCTGATTCCAAGTCCAGAAACGGTGGGTGTGCTGTCTTATTATCAGACACGGGAACAGAAGAAACCGTGCCATGCCCTTCGCCAAGGCTAAGATCTTCACTAACGAAATGTCTGTAGGCCCGCTTCCCTGCGACAACCAACAGTGGATTGAGGAGCTGGCCACATCGGCATACAACATCATATCATACTGCTCGTTTTGTTGAATCAAGTGCCACATAGTGCCACAACTACACACCAGGCCACTGCCTGCCCTGCAAAGCAAGGATCCATAGTCCCTTAGGAGTTGATCAGTGTCTTTAACTGATCAAACGAAGCGAAGCTCAAGTGAAGCTCCTTTTCCTCCCCAACCCGCAAGCACACAAGACAGGTGGCTTTCCACCTGTGGGCGTGGGACTTGCCCAATGCCAAGACACATCCATGCCCAGCCCACAAAACTGGACTGCCTGGCCACGTGGCTCAGGCTCACCTCGCTACAACTTCGTACTGCTCGAATGGCAGTGTATCAGATTATCAGGACAACGGAGCTGCGCGTTGAATCAAAGTATGTAATCGTTGTTACTTTAGGGGCTCGCATCTTGGGCCCATCATGTCGCTTGACCTGTGCACACGTTTGTCTACTTTGGCGCCGCTGTCAATTCAGAACGGGGTATTTGCTGTGCAGTCCATCGGGCACGTGGATTTCTGGCAGCTCAGGTTACGAAGACAGAAATGGCCAGGCTTTACAGAACTGATCACAGCCTGAGGCAGCTGTCATACATACCACTATTGCTTCGCCTTGAAATCCACACATCCGGTGGGCAAATACCCATTCGTCGCCCAGTCAGCTCAAACTGAGTGCTACAGTCAGTGCAACCTCCGTTTTCAGGCAGCATGAGGAGAAAAACAGGGAGCACTGCTGAGCACTGCCAAAACAAACAAAGCTGCGCTTGGGCCTGTTGGGCCTCTTGGGCCACGCACTGTCAAGGAGGTTGTGAGGTTAGCGATGGCTTGAGGACCTTGATGCAACTAGTAACAGGGCATCGCTAGTAGCTTCTTGCTACTAGTAATAGCAAGGTGCCGTACTAGTAGTAACAAGCTACTAGTAGCATTAGTAGCAGGACACCTTGCTGAAACATTGCACAGCCTGCGCCCACAAGGCGCCAAGGTTGAGACCGAGAAGGCACATGTCAACTCGTCGTCAATAGAGAGCACCTTGAAACATAGAAACAAACATGCAGCATTTGTATATTGCTCATTGCATTCCATGGCGAGCTCAACTTACGTCTTATAACTACTTCCGAAGTTCGCAGTGCAACCAAACGTCAGCCGCTGCATTGTCAAACTCTCCGCAGTAGTTTGGTGCAGAAAAAAGGGTCACCTCGACTCAAAAAAGCGAAAGAATAGCAAGAGAGAATGACCAAGAGAATGACTCAGAATGACCAAGAAGACACGGGGGATCTGCAAGAACAGCAAGATGTGCTGCCAAGTGTCAAGTCCTCTGTTGGAGAAGAACTCGTACCCATCCTCAACAACCTCGTCACTGAGCTTTAAATTGCGGCATCAGTGCATGCTCATGTCCAAAGGAACATCTCAAACCTCACAATTCCCTCGGCCTGGTGTGCTCTAACAATCCTTGGGCAACCAAACGATAGAAGCAAAAGCTATTCAGATTCCCTGTGTTTGTTTGACCTTTGACTTTAACACAGCTCGTGTTGAGTTTTTGCTTAGCTGCTTGGCCAAGTCGCAGGTCGAAATCATGTAGCTTCAGGAACTGCTGAACAATCTCTGGCCCAAACGAAACCGAGACACCCCGGTCATTCACTCCAAAGCCCTGGGTGGCCTGGCCAGCAGCTGCCCTTACCAAAAGAACATGCAAAAACAAGAATTAATTATGCTGCCCTCCTGACACAGCAATGGCGGGCTGCTGCACGAACCGGAGGCGCTTTTCAATGTGTTCTCTGCTATTTTTGTCATTGAAAGGAGGAGTGCAAAGGCAGAATTGGCAGCTATAAAAGTCGGCAAAAGGCGACCAAAGGTCATGATCACGTGCATGTGTGACACACAACACGGGAAGCGAAGTTGACAGCGAGAAAAACTGAAGTCCGCGGGCCAAACGTCAGCTTCTGAGGATTTAGAAGTGGCCCTGGGCCTCGGATGGATCCGACCATAGTAGGTCACAAAGGAACCCAGAGTCCGGAATGTCTGCAGGCCTCGCATAGCAAGTTTCAAGTACTGAGGGGTGCGAAGATTCGTTACGCTCAACCAGCCTTTGCATGGAATTGATCTTGCTCCGCAAGTCAACTTTGGCGTCTATCATATCGAAGGACAGCCCACCATGCATGCAAATCACCTGCCCGGTGGGCTACTACAAAATGCTACATCGACTGGGAACTCATGAAGCTGCCTTATCCGCAATAAGGGCACACGCCGGCATATAATTGAAGACATCACCTGGTGTTTCAAGCAGCTTCTCTAAAATCCTTCAAGTTAGAAAGCAGGCATAAGGCATAAGTTCTTCTCTACCGTGGCCAGCAACATGTTCAATTGGCATGCAGCCATGTTGCACATGAGGTGTCAAAAGCTTTCCAATAGAGCCAAGCAGCAAAAAGTTTTCCAAATCTTGATGCTGTAGCGTGACTTGCATTCGTCATAAAAGCCATAGATCCTTCGAAGCGAGATAAGCAGGCACATGTTGAAGGTGCATGCATGCCAGAGCCAAAGCCTACAAATGGAGGGCGACTCATGATTTCCACGTAGGAGGAAGAAGTTCTCTGGAAACTTGACCTGGCAGTGAGACAAGCAAATGCAGAAAGCAAGAAGCATGCAGCTGCTGGTGTCAACCGGCCTTGTAGGCAAAAAGCAAGCAAATCGTCTCCAAGCTGCGCTTTCCTCTATCAACGTAGTCACCCAAGAACAAATAGTTGGCCTCTTGGGATGCAAATCAAGGGCTGAAACAGGTGTAGAAGTCATGCACCTGCGGGGGATACCCGCTAGTGTCAAAGATTCTCAGGAGGTCATGGTACCTGTCAATATTGGCGACGCGGGACAGTATATTCTCAGCCATTCGGCTGGCCACTCTGGAAGTTCATTGGCACTGAACCCCTTGAACTCAGCTAGGCGCTGGCCATGGACATCGCCGCAAAGATTCAGCGGAGACTTGGTTAAGTCGATTTAGAAAAGCGAGCAGGGGTGTTGTGGTCTAGAATTCAAACTCCACCAGTTCTGCCACAAGAGCTCGGAAAAATAATCAAGCATGACACAATGCGTGAGATACACTGAGGAAGTGACATCCAGCTCCAGGAGCATTGGCTGCTGATGGAATATGGTCAAAGCCACATGGCACAAATCTTTCACAACTTCCTGGACAACGAAATGGTGTGGATGAACATCGAAAATAATTGGACCAACTCCACAGTGGGACGTCCTCAGGAATTGTGACTGACTGATTGATGGGAGGCCTGCGGCCAACCGAACAGCAAGCCAAACACGCTGATAATTCTTCGTTTTCCCTCATGGGGAAAACTTGTTCCTGTGGAAGTACAGGATCAATCCTCAAAGTATATAATATGCTCATACGAGTGAGGCCGGTCCCCACGCAAGAGCATGTGCCATGAAATGCCCCAGCCTGCATCTGTTTGTCTGGATGCTTGTGACATGTGCGAGCAGAAAGAATTAGATATGGACATGGATATAGACATATGACATATGTCATGTGGATATATTATAGAGAGAGAGATCAACGGGCAGGCGACTCATAGGCTCAATTTGGAACACATCGCATCGTGTCGGTTTAGACTGTGAACACCGTATCAAAAAGAATGCAACGAAAAGAAACGGAAAAAAAGAAGACATGCGTTCCAAAACGAGATTAATGATTAACCTCCCGTGTTCCAAACGAAACTAATCCTGCATTCGAAAACCAGGTGGCTCCCATATATGGTAGGTGTGAATGTCACTCCATGACATGGACTGAGGTTGACTAAGGAACGTCCGCTGCTTGGCACGAACCCTTTTGCCACCTCCACTCGCGACCTCCTAAGATGGGAGGGACCGCTTGAGCACCTCGAGCCATGCCTACGTTGGCGTGAAAAGGACGCGCCACCTGTTTCGAGAGAGGGCGACACTTCGTGCGGTTGTTCTTGGATTGGTTGCAGTTTGTTGCTACCTTCAAATTGGTAGCGGAGCCCCGGCCAGGGGCTCCCTACCGTGCTGCCAGTTGACAGTTGGTTGTTGAGTTTGAAAGTTGGTTGGAGTTGAACGTTGGTACATTGCTCTTGCACCCTGTACGTTGCACACTGGCCTTTGCTTGTTGCACATTGTACATTGTACATTGAGCAAGTCGACATTGAACATTGGACATTGCACCCTGGCCGCTGACCGCTGTACATTGTACATTGCGCCCTGGTCGTTGACCGTTGTTCATTGAGCAAGTTGACATTGAGCATTGGACATTGCACCTTGGTCGTTGATCGTCGTACATTGAGCATTGCCACACGTTGCGCAGATGGCTTCGACTTCGAGCACAGCTGGTGACACCACAAAGGGCAATCGGCCTCAGGACTACAGAGACAGAGAGTGGAGGGCTCGCATCCACCTGTACTACAAGAAGATGCAACTGCAGAAGAAACCTGTTGAAGGAATCATCAACATCCTCACCACCATGACCGGCACCGCATGGAAGCAGTTGGAACCCCAAGCTGACGCATTGAGTGAGGACAAGGAAGGTTTCTCAAAGTTGATTGCAGTGTTGGACAGGACGTTCCAATACGATGACCGTGTTGAGCAACCAAGGGCCTTCGAGAAGTTTTTCTATAGCCTCTCAAGAAGGCCGGATCAGACATTGATGTCGTACTGTGCTGATCATCGTGAGGCACTGCGGGAGGTCCAGAAACACAACATCTCCCTGCCGGCGGAAGTGACTGGTTGGCTCCTCCTTCGGAGGAGTGGGTTGTCTCAGGAGCAAAAGCAATTGGTACAATCGCAGTGTGGAGCAACATTGGAGGAAACAAAAGTTGAAGAAGCTATGTACTTTTTGTTTGGCCAAGATTTTCGTGGCCGCTCCACCTATGACCATCGTGGCAAGCCCTACAATGCACCTCGCTCAGCTGGAAAGCATGCCTACAAGTGGCAGAAGAAGGGCTCCCAAGCGGCATACGCCGCCAACGATGATGACCCCGACCTTCAGGACTATGAAGTTGATGAGGCTGACGCCTATTTTGGTGATTGGCCGGAGGATCCTGAAGAGGTCAACTATGAGGAGGACGAGCTGGAAGAAGTTCTCCATCAGGAGGACGATATGCCTGATGTTGATGACCCCGAATGGGAAGAGGCAGATGCATCATACCTTGATGCCCGCCGGAGGTTTGCAGAGCTCAAGACCAACCGTGGCTACTATCCAGTTGTGGCCCTAGCAGACCCCAGTCCATCCACCTCAGCCCAATCCCAACGCCCCTATCCTCCAAAGGGGAAAGGACCCAAGGGCTCCAAAGGCAAAAGCACCTCCAGATCACCACCTCAGAAAGGTGACGCCAAGTCAAGGGGCAAGGCCGCCCTATCCTCCAGTTCGTTCAACAAGAACACCTGTCTCCGATGTGGACAGTCAGGCCATTTCGCAGCTCAGTGCCCTCAGAAGCGTACCACCCCCAGCAACAGCGCATCACCCACTTCGAAGAAGTCCAAGGGTGATCACAACGCCCTCATGGTCCACTTCGCAATGAAGGACGCCTCAAGCATGCCAAACGGCATCCATGGCACCATTGATGGCGGTGCTAGCTGTATGGTGGTAGGCCATGACAACCCTATGCAGTACATCGAGCACTTCAGCCAGTTCCACATTGGACCAGATGATTTCCAGTTCCGCCCAACAGTGAAGACCCTCCAGTTCGGCGGTGATCGATCCCTAGATTCCCAGTGGACCGTTCACTTGCCCATTTGCGTCAGTGGCATCCTGGGTCGAGCACAGACCTTCATCGTCCCAGGCAGCACACCGCTGCTGATCGGTCGCCCGATCTTGAAGGCGATCGGCATCCAGCTCAACTTCATGGAGGACACGATGAAAGTACGAGATGGTTCATGGCAGGCCATCATCATGGGCCCTCGCAACGAACACCTGTTGCGCTTGGATGATGGGCTTGAAAGTTTGACCAACACCAAGGACTATCAGTTCGACTACATGCTGGAGGAGACCTACCAGCAGTTGTCACTTGAGCCACATGCAAGCACCACAGAGCCATACACCCTGTGGCACTACCTCGAGCTCACAGGCCTTGAGCCACCACAGTTCACACATGAACAGGCCATGAACACACAAGATGATGACAACAACACGGATGACAACAGCACCTCCGATCCTGAGGACATGGATGAAGACGATGATGACACCCTGCACCGACGTGCCCTTACGGACAAACTCGTCCGGAGTTTCCGTGTGCACCAACAACACCTAGCACAACAGCACAAGGCCACCATCGAGGCTGCACTCCAAGCACATGCGAAACATCGCATGCAGTTCTGGGAGATCTATGCAGGAGACGCCAACCTGGCCTCAGCCATGCAGGCCAAAGGCTATGTCGTGCGCACCTTTGACATCCGCAGCGGTTGGGACTTCACGAACCCCAAGCACCAGCGAGAGCTGATCAAGCTCTACTACCTCACCTCGCCGGACGTGATCTGGCTTGCACCACCTTGCACAAAGTGGTCACCCATCCAACGCCTGAACATCCGCAGTCAGGCTGATCAAGACCGACTGGAAGCACAACAGCAGCACGAGGAGGGAACCCACCTCCGATTCAGCAAGAACCTACACAACAAACAACACAAACAACAACGACTTTCACTCTTCGAGCATCCCAGGTACGCAGAATCCTGGAACACTGATACACTACAACACCTAGAGGGACATGACGCCCACATCGACCAATGCCAATATGGAGCAACACTTCCGGACCATGACGGCATTGAGCAGTACATCCGCAAGCCAACCACCCTGAGAGTCACCTCAGAGACATTGGCACAACTCCTTGAGCGCACATGCCAAGATGAGCACTACCACTTGCCCATCGAAGGCAGCTCACCAAGCATCGGCAGTCGAGCAAAAGCCGCAGGCAGCTACCACCCACAGATGTGTCAGGCATGGGCCGACATTCTCCACTACTACCTCCAGGAACACTACTGGCCCAACTATGAACCTGAATCAGCACAGACCCGATCCAACGAGCCAAGGCCGCCCTCGACTCAGTTCGCGGTCGCAGCACCACGCTGTACTTTGACCTCCAGCGCTCCAACAAGCGCAAACGCTCTGAAGTTCTCACCGAAGATGAAGAAGATCCTGAACCAGCACAAGAACACACCACCCAAGTTGAGGGAACAAGCACCACACCGGCAATAGCAGACCCAGCAGCAACACCGACGGACTACTGGGATGTGGAGGAAGACGGACTCACATGGCATCGCATTCATGTTGAACCACGTCAACGCCTGTTTGTTCCAGGCAATGATGCACCCAAGGACCAATTCCTGGACGCCAGACTCACGACCATCCGTCGACCGAACCAGCCAAGGACCGTCCTACGAGACGATTGGCACGCAGCCAATGCCGACCGTGGAATGCCTTTCCACTGGACAGGAAGCACCACCTTCAAGCTGCGCATCGAGTCCGGAACAACCATGCAGACCGATGCAACACCCCAGCCAATGATGGTGCCAGAATCCTCCAGTGACACCGACATGCCCTCAGCACATCCAGCAGGAGCTGCCTCCAACGATGCAGGAACCACTACATCACCACCAGCCCTGGCGCCAGGCGATGGCACCCGGAACAGGTGATGATCCCTCCATCGAAGCAGGCACACTCCCACCACAGAGTGCTGGTGAACCGAGAGCCACCTCCTAGCATGCCAGAGACACCAACAGTTCCACCCCACCAGAAGGAACTGTACACTCCGGCAACGACGGAGACCTTCCAACAGCGTAGAGCCAGAGTGGATCGACAAGAAACACTCTCCCTCTACCAACCAGCCACCGGCAGAGTCCGATATGGACCAAACAGAGAGGTGTTTGACAGCACCCGGGCAACCACCAGCCCATACACCAGGCCCACGGCACCAGATCCCGAAGAAGCACTCACGTTGAGCACCTTCGATACAGATCTGGCCAAAGCGGACCAACTGACACTACCACCCGGATGGACCCTGGAGAATGGTTTCCTCACTTTGGAGGACCCCAGGGACGAATGGACCTTGCAGAACGACAAGCTCATCCGGAAACATTATGAACCACGAGACACCACGTTTGATCCAAGTGATCCCACCAATGGTTGTCCGCTACCGCTGCACTACCTGAGCAAAGATAGAGTCACCAGAGCAGCTGGTCTATGACCGCTGGAAACAACAAAAGGACAGAACAACACCACACACCTGGACAGGCCAGACGATCTTTAAGATCCTTCCAGCATACCGCCGACTGGCGATGGACATGTTCTACAACATCAGCGGAGGACACGCCTCCTACATCGAGCCAACAGCACCAGAACAGGTCCTAGAGACCGCAGACAAAGCAAACACCAAAGCACCCGGCCCCAAGGCCAAAGCAAGAAAAGACCAGCTCAGTGAACGACACATGAGCTTGGCAGACCGCATGGCGTTCATGGAAGCCAAGCGAAAGGAGCTTGAAAGTTTTTTTCAACATGATGTTTGGGAAATGGTGCAAAACGATGGCGCGATCCCGGCTGACCGCATCCTCAAAGCCCACTTCATTCTCAAGTGGTCAAAGTTGCCAAATGGTGAACCAAGGGCGAAGGCACGCCTGATCACCCAAGGCTTCAGAGATCCAGACGCTTTGTCCGGAGCCCTCAGCACGGACTCGCCCACGCTTTCCCGCATGGGAAGAAACTTCATCCTGAGCATCGCAGCCAATACTGGCTGGACCACCTTCAGCGCCGACGTCAGCACGGCCTTCTTGCAGGGCAAGGAACACCCCACCCACAGAACACTGTGGATTCAGCTTCCAGCTGACGCCCGCCGAATGCTCGGCATGGACAAGCACCACGACAGCACATCGTTGATGCAGCTTCGGAAACCCATGTACGGTTTGTGTGATGCACCAAGAGCTTGGTATACCGAAGCTCGTGAGCGGATCACCAAGTTGGGAGCAGTAGTTCATCCGCTCGATCCCTGTCTCTTCCTGGTCCACGACCATGAAGCACCCGAAGACCAATGGACCAGCCAGACAGACGACAATGGGAACACAGTTCGGCATGCTCCACTCTCCGGCCTATTCGGCCTTCACGTGGACGACATCCTAGGCACCGGCAACATGGAATGCCCCTCCTTCCAAAAGTTCAGTCAATGCCTGAAGAAGACCTTCAACTTCAGGACATGGGAGGAGAACTGTGACGTGGACTACTGTGGAGCCAAGATCCACCGGATCAATGAGCACCACTACGAGCACCTACCTGGAGAAGCAAAAGCCCATTTCGTTTGAGAAGGCTCCAACAGAACAGGCAGTTTCTGAGAAGCAACGCACTGTGCTTCGTGGAATGGTTGGAGCATTGCAATGGCCATCAACACAGAGCAGCCCGCACCTGCAAGCAATGACAAGTCAGCTAGCAGGCATGGTGAGCAAAGCAACAGTTGGTACGTTGCAAGAAGCAAACAGGTGTTTGAGGTTTGCAAAACAGTACAGTGATGTTGGTTTGAAGTTTGAAGGGCCCGGCAGCTGCACAGAATTGACATTTGTTGCTTACAGCGATGCAGCCTTTGCATCGAGAGCTGATCTCACATCGCAAGGGGGTCATCTCATCATGATGACCAACCATGGAGTCACCCAAGGCCAAGAAGGTCAGTATCATCTGATCGATTGGCGCTCCTGGAAGCTACCCCGCGTGTCGAGGTCAAGCTTGGCAGCTGAAAGTCAAGCGGCGTCCGAAGCCTCGGACGCATTGCTGTACACCTCAGTATTTTGGAAGTTGATTTGGTCACCCTTCCTGGCGCTCGAGGACAGCAAGACCCCAAAGTTGAAGCATCCACCACGGTTGGTGGTTGATGCCAAAGCATTGTACGACCTGTTGGTCAAGCAGGATTTGCAGACAGCCTCCCAAGCCGACAAACAGACCAGCATCGAAGTCCTGGTTACCAGAGACAAGCTTTCCTGCACAGGTGCTACCACAGCTTGGGTGTCGAGCGAACTGCAGTACGCTGACGGCATGACAAAGCAAGCCGCAGCCGGCCTCCTCGCTCAAAGGCTCAGAAGCCACACCACGTGTTTGCGACCGGACGCAAGCTTCACAGCTTCAAAGAAGAAGAGCTTGGACCAGCGGCGCTTGAACCAGATGCGCTACGCAGTTCCCAAGTCCAAAGAGCTGCTGAACGCAGCCATGTTTGTCACTCTAGCTACCACCTCCACTGCGCACTCAGCCAGGAGAGACTGAACCGCCTCCTTTGGTTCAGCTCGAGGAAAACTATGCCCAGACCGACGAAGACCGCCCTCTGCTCACCTTGGTACAGTTGAGGCGCCGAGAGCGCGAATTGGAAAATGAGATTTCCGACCTGAAGTAGCAGCTTTTGTGGGTGAACACCAAGCACAAGGACATGTACAACAAGATGAACAGAAAGCTGCAAGGTATGGTCGAAGTCCACAACCTCCAATTTGAGCAAATGCGGCTTCGCTACGAGAAGGAGCTCAAAGAGCGCACTCGCAGCCGCCCTCGAAATGCTGTCGGCAGAGACATCTACCGAACAGAGGCAGGTGAATGCTGGCATTCCTCCTTCACATGTGCCCGTGGTCGAACAGCAGCCATCACCTACACTCTCCGACCTTGCAAAGTTTGTGCTAGCAAGCTTGGAGAGGACCTGCTGTTTGAGGCGGACGAGAGCTTTGACCCGTCTTCCTCTTCCACCAGTGTGAATGTCACTCCATGACATGGACTGAGGTTGACCAAGGAACGTCCGCTGCTTGGCACGAACCCTTTTGCCACCTCCACTCGCGACCTCCTAAGATGGGAGGGACCGCTTGAGCACCTCGAGCCATGCCTACGTTGGCGTGAAAAGGACGCGCCACCTGTTTTGAGAGAGAGCGACACTTCGTGCGGTTGTTCTTGGATTGGTTGCAGTTTGTTGCTACCTTCAAAGTAGGCTATATGCGTCTGAAGGTGCGGGTTCTCAAAGACAAGAATCTAAGAAGGTTCAAAAGGAAGAAGCATGTTTCACCATCTATGGGGGCCGATTTGAGCTTCGCGGAGCCTGGCGAAAATAAAGACTTTTGACCGGGCTCTATGTTTTCCAGGGACCTGTCAAGACCAAATTGATCTAAACTGTGTGAGCCTGTCGGGGCTTGCGAAGGGCAAATGCTGGAAAAGGTGCAGGATTCCTAATTTTAGAGCAGTCGAACACATGGTCCTCCGCCCCACATCCAAGCTCTATATACATTCTACATGCGGGGATCGCCGCAAGGTGATTGGCAAACACCGAAAATGCCGAAGTAGCCCCTCAGCACTAAAGAGGAGGCCTGTATCACTATGCCTGCAAAGTGCTTCCACAGCTCGCAGTAACGGAAGATGCTCTGGTGATCTCTGGTGTTGTTTAGTTGGCTTTGGTCCCCGCAAAATGGCGCGACTGTTGCTTTTTTTGATGTCTTGATGGTCTTGATTGGTTTGAGCCTGGTATGTGCATTCAGGACTTGCATTATATAATTTCTTGATTGTTCATGTGTGTTAAGATGGCGTCAAAGATCTCTGATCTTGGTTTCATAGTGAGCTACTATCGCACACAAATCTCTAGAGTCTCTAGAGTTTCACAAAGAAATCTTCAATGAATAGGCCAAGGAAAGAAGCAAGCTGGAAAAAATAGACATGAAAAAGGAGCACCCAAATTTCACTTCCTATCGATTCCGGTCATATGGTCCTATAGCCTACTGCTTCCTACAAAAAATAGGGAAACCAAGAGGATTTAGGATTAGGAGGGTAGTTTGGGGTGAGGGGCCGAGGAGGGGTCAAGAGGGCGATGTAGGGAGAATGAGAATTGTGTTGTTTTCTTTCTCGAAGGATTGAAAAATAAGCTTGGAAATAGGACCTGAACAAGGTCTGGTCCAAAGCCTAAATCAAATTTTATCATGTATCCGATCCTATGCCTAGGCTTTCCAATTTTGAGTTGTTCTTTCCGCTTGCCATCACAACCCAAATGTGTACTGCGAACAGCGGTGATGTTCAATTAAACTATGTCCGGGAAGGCGCATATACAGTATGCCAACCAACTAGTAGACAAACGTGCGACGACAAAGCAAAGAGTCACAATTCAATGTGCACCTGTTGACCCGAAGGCAGCACAGAATCCAGATCTACTCTCTGGGTACAGAAATATGATGCCAAGTTGGAGATGCCTTTTCCGGACGTGGAGCAGCGAGTCCAAGACATGGTCCACATTCAGACCGTTCACTGCATCCTCAGTGCGCTTCACACCGCAGCTGCATCGAACCAGTATTATTCCATGAAACCTGGCATCCTGCCACACCCTGCCTCCGACTTTCTCTTTTTGGCTGGAGGAGCTGTCTTCTCGTTTTGCAGCTCAGCCATCTTCCTGCAACTCTCAACTTACACTAGTCACTAGAGCCTTGGCCTGTCCACTTGGAACCAGCCTTTGCCGCCAGCGTCGGCAAGGAGGCTCCGCTTGAGCCAAATGCCACGTAAAGAGGCAGTTATGATGCTTAGCTCCAAATCTCGTTATCAGGGTGTAACATCTTCTTAATGATTGATGAGATCAAACAAAAAAGGCTGAAGGCATTGGCACAGCCGCTGCATCTTGATGCCGATGCATAATTACATACAATATAAATGTGTCTCAAGCTGGCTGAGGTGTCGGCCCTGCTTGTAGCAGCTGTAAGTGTATGTCTCAGAGGGGTGACATGAGTACACGTGTCCAGCCGATGTCCACAAGCAACTGTGTTTTTCACTGTGCACGGTTTCTGTATGGTCCAACATCTCAGCTTGGGCCAGAACTATGCTGGACAGCAAGTTCGACTGGGCAAAGCGGAAAGTTGCCAGCAATTACCAAAAACATGTTGCGGATGAAACATCCTGCAGTAGGTGGGCACAATGGGCCACACTGTTCTCTTGGCGGTTGCTATGGGTTCAGTGCTCCCACCGCATCTCCGTAGAATTGTTGGACCAACCACTGCAGGTACATGTCAATGTGCAGATCAGCGACTGGGTCTGAGAAGTCTGTTGTGTCGGAGAAGTCGACCACAATAGCCCGGTCCCTGGAATTGTCACGATTCATTCAATCTTGAAGTGCAGAAGCATGCAAATTCACCACTGCTGCAGTATAATAGTGGTACTTTTCCATTGAGAGCCGAGCCTTCTGCTTGAAAATCCGTTTCCACCATAGTAAGTCACGGAGAGTCCTCCTAGAACCTGGAAAGTGTCTGCCCAGCAAAAGGTACCATTTCCCAGCTATAAACATTGGAGGGGCACCACTTTGACCTCGGCACTGACCACGTTCTGCAACACTACGACGGAGGTGCCATTGGTGATATTCACCTGAAAGGAGTGGCTGGCCCTAGATGTGCGTCACTTTTGCACAAAGAAGGGCAACAAGGTGCTGAAACATGTCTTGGATAGTGGCATCCTTAGACGGTCTGAGTACTGCATGTACAGTAAATGAATTGAAAAAGAAAACCCGTTCTAAAATAGTTATCCTAGGTTGAAATCACAGCAATTCCAAGCGGTGGCCATCATGCACCCAACATGCGCCCATGTATATGGTTGTATGTTGTGTATGCCCTTTTAACAGCCGCGTTCTTACTTTCAGAGTCCAATGGTTCCAAATGTGAAGCTGAAAGTAGCCATCCTCTTGCACGCAGAAACAAATTGCCAAGACTATACACCCTGGAAAGCACTTGGACAAGTGGTCAAAGTTGCGAAGGGGTCTAGCGCGGATCTAGCGCGGGTCTAGCGCGGATCTAGCGCGCTTCCCTGCCAGTGCATGAGGCCACCAAACGTCTGTGATCAAGAACTCGCTTTCGTGTGTGTGTGTATGTGCACCAATGAGTGACCGTTACAATCAGCTCTTGTTTGTTAATCTTTTCTAAGTTACCTAAGTACTTGATCCTAGCGCCAAACCTAGCGCGAACCTAGCGCAACCCTGCGTTTTGCTAGCGCGACGAGGTAACATACCCACTTTAAACACCAGAATACCAAGCGGTGGCCAAGCGATTTCTGAACCTCTGTGAACATTCCTTACTTAATACATATTCCCGTTTTTTTCCAACTCAAATGTATACTGTATCAGTTCTTGTTTTCTTCAATGTCAGCCTCTGGAAAAATGCATTGAATATCATTGAATTAAGTGCAGTGATTTCGGTTGTCTACTGAATTCGGATGATCCTTGCACCGGCATGTGCAGGATTTGCCATTAGTGGCCCTCATGGACCTTCTACAGCCTAAGTCCACGTCACCTTCTAGGCACTTTGCCTTGCCTACAATGCCTACAGCCCCACGGCCATCTAGTGGCTGTGTGACTGTGTCCTACTATCTCCTAATTGGTACGGAAGAGAATCAGAATCGGTTTGTGGATCCTGGGGACACCCTGCATACCGCCCTTAACACATGGTGGTTGATCTAAATTCCTTCCTACGAAAACGCCGTTCACTTCAAAAAAACATCTTTACTCAATCCTAGAAGTCTTCTATTTCCACATATTGATCTTTCGCACACAGCATCTTTACTTTCGCGAACTCGGGAAACAACTTTCGCGAACAACATAAAAGGCTCTCGACGAACCTAGGCCTATGTCGACCTTTTGATCAACTACCACATGCAACAACTATCAAAATTTGATTGAACTGCAGAATCATCATCATCACTCGGCCACATGTCTGATTTAATGACCTTCAACCAGAACCAAGAAGTTACTGTATATCACAATATGTTTCTATGAGGTGGGCTCAGCTGGCAGGGCGAGAAAAGAGAAGTCAAAGAACACATTCAAAATTTTGGAGGACAGCCAAGAGACTGACTACACAACAGAGTGGACCTTAGAGTGGGCCAAAAAATAAAGCATCACCTGTAAGGATATAAACATGAGCATCCGTTTGCACTATTTTTCGGTCTGGCGTACAACATGAATGGTGGGTTTGGCTGACGCCCAACAGCTTGCGATGGGCACATTCTCGGGATGGAAGATGATAAAAATGAAAAAACGCCAGTCGTCCCGCTCACCTCCTCTCTCTCTCACACTCACTTCTCTGGCCTTTCCTATTGTTGGTGTTGTTCTCACTTTCTCTGCTTCTATGGTGTTCGGTTTTTTTCGTACATTCATTGTTTCCCGTCTTTCCTTCGCTTTTATTTTTTTCCTGGAAGGCACCTGCGAAGGTTTTCCTTCAAGAACGGCGACCAACTTCAACTGTCCAATCACAATCTTTATCATGGCCATCGGCACCACCATCATCATCATCCTCACCGTAAACACTAGCAGCATCATCACCATCACCACCATCATCATCATCATCATCATCAGCAGCAGCATCACCTCATCATCATCATCATCATCATCATCATCATCATCATCAGCGCGTTTGCGTGAGTCTGTGCCATTCGGGGGAAGAAACGATGTTGGTGTAACTTCGGCGTGTCGCTGGGGAGCGGGATGGCTCGCGGTGTCCACGAGGCTTGGTGTTACATTGTTGTATCTAGCCTGTGGCACACCGTGTGGCGACATGACGTCTATGATGTCGCTGTGCAATTTGGTTTTGCACGGCCTCGGTCGGTGGCAGTGCTTTTGCCCGAGTGCGTGCCATTGGGGAACGAAAACATTCGGCGTGTCGCTGGGGAGTGGGGGTCATTGGCGGTGCTCACAAGGCTTGGTGTTACATTGTTGTATCTGGTCTCTGGCACACCGTGTGGCCAAATTCCATCTGTGTTTCTTTCTTTCTTTCTTTCTTTATTTATGTTTTTCGTTCGTTCGTTCTTTCCTTCGTTCGTTCTTTCTTTCTTTCTATTTTCTTTTTTTGTAATAGTAATGTTCTGCTCTTTTCTTTTCATCTCTTCTGTTCTCTTTTCTCTTCTCTTCTCTCTTCTCTCTTCTCTCTTCTCTCTTCTCTCGTCTCTCTTCTCTCTTCTCTCTTCTCCTCTCCTCTTCTCTCTCTCTCTCTCTATCTCTCTCCCTCTGTGTGTGTCTGTCGTTCTCTCGTTCTTTCTTTCCTTCTTTGTTTTCTTTCTTTCCTTCTTTATTTATGTTTTTCTTTCTTTCTGTATACTGTATATATTTATTTGCTAATATACTTTTTTGGTCTATCTCTTTCTCTCTGTATCTCTGTCTCTCTGTCTGTCTGTCTGTCTGTCTGCCTGGCTGCCTGCCTGCCTGCCTGCCTAGCTCTCTTTCTGTCTTTCTCTCTTTCTCTCGTTCTTTATTTCTTTCTTTATTTATGTTTTTCTCTATTTCTTTCTTTACTTATTTCGTTCTTTCTTTCTTTCTTTCTTTCTTTCTCTCTCTCTCTCTCTCTCTGTTTCTCTCTTTCTCTCGTTCTCTCTTTCTTTCTTTCTTTCTTTCTGTATTTATGTCTTTCTTTCTGTATTTATGTCTTTCTTTCTGTCTCTCTTTCTCTGTTTCTCTGTTTCTCTCTTTCTGCCTTTCTCTCTTTCTCTCTTTCTCTCTTTCTATCGTTCTCTCTTTCTCTCGTTCTCTCGTTCTCTCGTTCTGTCTTTCGTTCTTTCTTTCTTTCTTTCTGTCTTTCTTTTTGGCTTTATCTCTTTCTCTCTTTCTCTCGTTCTCTATTGTCTTTCTGTCTTTCTTTATTTCTTTATTTTTTTTGTTCTTTCTTTCTTTCTTTCTTCCGTTCTTTCTTTCTTTCTTTCTTTCTTTCTTTCTTTCTTTCTTTCTTTC